ATATATATAGATAGATAGACATAGAAGTCATTTTGACTTTATATTTGATAAATGCAACTTTATTACTTTGTTTTGACTATAATTTTTGCTTTAGTTAAAAAAATAAAATAATAAAATGGCATACAAAATGTTTATATTTTATGCTATTATATCCATGCAAAATATTAAATAATATAAAATTTTATGATAACCATTGTAATTTAAGTTTATATTTTATATCAATTTAATGCTGTCAATTTAAAAATGATCTTAATTTTTATTTATTATTTTAATAATAACAACAACAACAACAACAACAACAATAATAATAATTATTACTACTTCTACTTTATATTATATAAATTTTACAAATAATATGAAATATATTTGTTTATTTTTATGTAAAAAAGAGTTATACACTAATTTGACATGCCAATAATAATAATAATAATAATAATAATAATAATAATAATAATAATAATAATAATAATAATAATAATAATAATAATAATAATAATAATAATAATAATAATAATAATAATAATAATAATAATAATAATAATAATAATAATAATAATAATAATAATAATAATAAATATTACATGACATATTTAATGTTTACGTTTACACTATTATTCCATTTTAAAAGTAATATTAAATTGATTAAAAAGTAAAGGGGTTTATACTGTATACTAAATGCCAATAATAATAATAATAATAATAATAAACAAACAAATACACATTTTTAAACAAAAGGAGTTTACTAATTTGAAAAAAAGCCAAGAATGCCAATCATGATAATCTAAATAATGATAAGAAATACATTTAACAATTGCAGATAAGTAAGAGCTGCAGGTTTTTGTCACTGTAAAACTCTACCTGCCTGTAAAACGTGGTCAGAATTGACATTATATTCCTCTGTGGTTAACAGATCTGAAAAGAGTACATTCCATGGAGATATTCCCACAAGATCCAGCCACCATTATTCCACACGTTTAGCCTTTCTACTCAATATCCCCCCCAGGAAAAATCAGGCAGATCGTTGTTCCTTTGCTCTGCAGCCACCAGAGTGTAAGAACGGGACCCAACTTCAGATCTCATTATGCAAATATCTCTGTGCCCGGCACAAACTGATGAACAATTTCAAGGACTGGCTAGTTTATAAATGTCGCCATTTCCCATCAATTTATATTGTAATTAGATTGGGGTCAAGTCAGATTATAGATCTGAACAAATTCCACTTTGGGTAAATTATCCAATGAGCTGAGATATTTTAATTAAGAATAAGGACCTGGAAAGAACGCAGATGAGCTGTTCGGATAGTGAACGCTAATCAGTGACTGTTTTTAAGAATTATCAACAAATATTAAGTAGCATTATAACTTTCACTCTTGCATTAATAAGTCATTAAACATTATGACATTAAGCAATGATCAGTCATACATTATCATGGTTATCACTGCTAATTAAAACTATTAAAAACACATTTGTTATGTGAAATAAACAAATACAATAATATATAAATACTGGATGAAAAACTTGAATGTTGAATGAAAATCAGAAAGGTTGCTTTGGCAACTAACTTAAATAAGTTGAAGCACTAAAATTATTAACTGGAAACTAACTAAAACTGAAATAAATCAAAACTTAAATAGTAAAATAATGCATAAAATTAGAAATGTGAAACTGACTGAAATAAGTTTAAGTTAAACCACTAAAATTACTAACTGAAAAAAAAAAACCTGAATTAAAACTAAAATTGAAATAAAATAAAATAAAATTTAAATAGCAAAATAAAGACAAAAGCACATAAAATACCACAATTAAAATTAAAATATATAAAAGACAATATTAACAATTCAAAAAAATTAATAAAACTTCAATAGCATATAATAATAAAATAACACTGTATATAAAATAATACTGTAAAATAATAAAGTACCATGAAACTTTATATACTGACTTAAATAGAGAGAGCAAAAATAAATAAATAAATAATAGATATAAAAGGTGCTTTGGATAAAAACATCTGATACATTAATTAACATGTAAATGACAATATAAAACAATTACATAAAATGTATATAATAAAGGTAAATTAATATATTATTTATATATTCATATATATTATATAATGCTATAACTAACAGTGCAGAGGTTGTTCAGTACCCACCCCATGTGTTAAAGAGACGGGACTTCCTGCAGAGATAAACAACTTCCTGCTGGCACTGTTCAGACCTGCCCACAAGTGTCCGCAGCTGTTCCAGAGATGTGCTGTAGTTGAATTTCATCACGTGGGGCTTCTGAAGCGACGACCCTTGAACCCTCACCATCTCCGTGCTATTGTGATTCACTACGGTCCAAACCTTATCATCTGGAAAATACGAAAAAAATCTGTTTTAAAAATCTGAAATAATCCATATGCATTTCAGCACTAACTGAAAATACTATTTTTACAGTCAGCGCACTGCAGAATACAACGCACAGCATGTATTAAGCAGCACATCACCCATCTTTTCCATGCTGTCAAAGTCAATCCTTTACCATACTGAATGTGTAGCACTTCATACCTCCTCGGTTCATTCAATCACAAAAGCGAGCTGTAATCCAGATAATAATGAACACAAACCTTAACGAGAAAAGAACGCGACTTCAATTAGATTTAAAAATAAAGCAGCGCAGCAAGTCTCCTCCAACCCAAACTTAAGGCCAATCGTTGTTACACCTCTGACGTCAGCTTTCATTTATCCAGCAAACACCTCAGCGTGGGGGGGGGTGTTTTCTCAGCCAGCAGGCACTTAAGTCTGCGTGTGCCAAGCGTACAGTAATTTACATTTCATGCGGCATTTCTAATTGAGGTTGGCCAAAGTCAATGGCACTTTATTCTAGAAGATCCCGAGCCAGTGGATATGTGTGTAAGAGAGTGACGCTTTATCACAATTCTGCAGGAGATGAGTAATATTTCACTGAATGAGCAGCGTGTATAACAGTCCAGCAAAACGGGCCTGGCCGCGGTTGTTTATATATGTTAACATTAGTTAATGCTGCATTTAACATGAAATGGCAATCAACAATACTTCAACTTATGCTTTAAAATGTTACTTTTTAAACATTTCAAGTTTTACATATATGGACACATGGCGAACTTGGCCTTGGTAAACATAAGAGACTTTAACATTTCAGGTTGTATAGATTAACATGAATGAATTCTAAACAAACATGAATTTAACAGTAAACAATAATATATTTGTAAACTAGCATTTACCTATTGTAAAATGCTGTAAAATTACAGTAGTGTTCACTGTTGGTTAATAATAAATAAAGCATTAACGAACATTAGCAAATTGAACTTTATTGTAATATTCAATGAGTTTAAAACAAACAAAAAAGACAAAAATACTAATCTTAAATGTAAAAAAAAAGGTGGCAGGCTCAAACTTAGCTGTGAACGTGAAACTGCATTCACTGAAGGGTGAATGTTTTCTTAACACATGCAATTTGAGAAAGCTGCATGTACAGTATGTATGCAGCATGTCTATTTTTATCCCACACTTGCAGTATTCATGTTAACACTTATGTTTTTTATCCCACAGAGGTCTCACCGGTTATGTTGCAGTAGATGACAGTGGATTTGAGCGGCCCGCTTCCATCAGGATCGATTGAGAAAAAGCCTGAGGCACTTCCTGTGAGCCGGTGGGCCTCGCAGGAGGGTTCAAAGATGGCTGACCAGAAAAAACAGCAACAAAAACCTTAAGTCAGCTCATGTTGAGTGTCATCAAAGGAGGAAACCTGTTTATTTGGCTTTGTAGAGAATACATGTTTGGTTGTTTTGCATTGTTAAGCAGTATTACTAACTTCAAAAGAATTGAAAAAATAAACAAAGTTTAAACATATTATTCATCAATGCCAAAACCCGAAAGCTTTGAAAGAGTTTGTAGCTACTTTCTCAAAAAACAAACAAATAGTAATGTTTTTGTAATCGTTCTTGTCAACTCACAGTTATGACAGGTGGCTCCCGTGTATCCAGTTCCCGAACAGTCACAGAAAAACGTGTTCCAGGACTGAGAACATTCCCCATCATGCTCGCAGTAGTTAGGAAGACATCTGCAGGAAAAATACGATTTCTGTTCAAACTTAACGGTACTTACAGCAGAGTAGAAGATACATTATCGAATTACACAAATTACACAAACGCCACACTGCGACATACGGTACAATACCGAACAATGATGTATTTTGTGCTCAGAGGGATTTAAGGACGTGACATCAATCAATAACCACAAGTGACTATTAGGAAATAAATGAGCGAGGCTGAAAGCTCATGAAGGAGGCATCAATTTTGCAACAGACTGAACACGCACTCAAGGATGAGGACGCTGGACAAGTGATAAAAGATTGCGAATGTGATGAAGTAAAAGCCAAGAACTGAACTCTTTTGCTGTCTCTGTTGGGATGTGTCTTATTGTCAAGCCATATATCAACTATTAGCGACTCTTGAAATGATCAAGTTCTTGAAGTACATGCGATATCCTGCATTTTAATTGCATATGAGATTAAGTTTATCTACTGTTTTATCCCTCTCTCATCAACAGGTAAACAATTTATATTCATATGATGCATTACTCATAAAAATCCCTTAATGGATCCTAAATGACAAACGAATAATTTCAGAAAGGAAATTAAATTCCAAAAGACAATAACACACAAGCGATTTAATGCAAAGCATATGCTAAATACCTGCATGTAAAAATGCTAATTAAAACTGTGACACGACTGAACTCCCTTGTTAAAGTATAATTCAACAAAACCATCTGGGTATGTATTTAGCTCTAAAATTACGATCTCTTCTGAAGCGCCTCTTTGTCGACTGTTGAATGTGAAAGGTGTTAATGTTGTAATAGTTTCTGTCACTAGAAGAAAATTGAATAATTGAATCCACTAATCAAATGCTATACAAAATATTAATACCTGCAGAGGTGTGGAAAAAAGAACTTTAAAGAATCTTCCGATGCTTGATTGCTACTTTGATTAATTTAGAGTAGAGAGAGGGAACAAAAGACTAGGATAATGAGAAGAAGAAGAAAACACAGCTGTCAGACTCCATTGTGGCAGAAATAACTCATATCCATGTAGCGTGTGATGAGGGAAGGGAGGAGAGAAATGACAACCGTCTCACCTCATAGGCCGCAGGATTGCGGCCGTGTATGAGACTCAGCAGAGGTCAATTCTAAACCAGCGTGAGCTGATCTCAGCACTAACGGATGAACAGTGGAGGATGAAACCGGACTGAAGGTGAACCCCAAAATAGGTTGGTATTTTTTATATTAAATTGTATCTTTCGGCAGTTCGGGTTGTGAAAGCTGCAAGTCACCCTTGAGAACATTTTGACGTATCCCAATGGTAACGCTTAATTTTCAACTCATAATTGAAGTAACCTTATTAACACTGAACTCCATTAAATTACTGCGTTAACTATCGGCGGGATTTTAGAACACTGTATTACTTACAACAGTAGCCCAAAACAATGTCATCCCTGAAACACATTGTTTCAGAGGCGTAACATTACAAAGACATAAAACCATTTTGTAAAAAAAACCAATGAATCGTGCACAATAAGTGTGATGAGGGAAGGGAGGACAGGAATAACAACCGTCTCGCCACACTGGCTGCAAGATTGCGGACGTCTCTGAAACTCAGCAGAGGTCGATCTACACCGTTGCCGGCTGATCTCAGCGCTAACCGACGAACAATATGGGATGAAATCTGACTGTTAAACACTGAAATGCATTTGAATACATCTTAATTGTGTCTTTTCTGCAAGGTTAAGCACAAAAGTACAAAGGACAATCTTTTGGGGTGAGGGAAAGTGCTTGGTACAGAAAGGTTAAAAGGAGCAAAATCTAAAGGGTCACGGATGGTAACTGAAGGATATCTAAAGTTCTGTGGTGCGAATCTTCATTCAGTCAGAGCGAGTGTGATTAAAGATTACCATTACTCTCTCATTCTCATTTCATTCTGCTATGCATCTCATGAAGAGCAGGGCAACGTGGGTAGCATCACAAACGACTGCTACATATATTCGCCCACAAACCAGCTCCTCCCCATATGCTAATTAAGGGGGGGTGGGGGTTGTTGGCAGGAGCTGAGGTGTCTTGGCCCAGTGGCCGCTGTCCAAATCTCTATTGATCTGTCTTGACTATCAAACTGCAGTCAGCTGGCGAGGACAGGGACTTCGGGCCTAGCCTTAGGTTAGACAGGGTGATAAAGAGACAACGAAAGTGGTGGAAAAAAAACAAGAGATAGCTAGATATAGAGCGTGAAAGGAATGCAGCTAGGGACATGGGGAAAGTGTCTGAAGCATGCTAGTCTAGGTCTACACAAATGATTTAGGATGGTAATCAAAGGCTGTCAGAGAGGAGTACACCTTTTCGAAACTTATTCTAGAGGACAGCCAAAACAAACAACTGGCCTCGCTTATCTTCATTTACTCCAACTGATAGGCTTTACTGAAGCGAAAACAGGCACATCTCCTACAGCCTTGGTACTCAACAAGCTTCATGTGGCTCTTAATGATGTTGCATCTCGAAGGCTCATTTGTCCCTCAAATGATTCTTTATGTTTTTGTCATTGGCTTGGCTAAACAGTCATAAGTCAACAGCGTTCAGGATCGTTGCAAGATGACGTGCCCCTACTCTGGGTGCTGCTTACAAACCAATCAAAATTAACCAAACTATGACAATAATACTTTGGGTCTAACCTTTAAAAAATAGCAACATCCATCACTAGGACATAAGAGGACATGGCAACCTGTATCATTGGAAAAAGCGTAACAGTCAATAAGAGTCATAATAACTTGCGCACATGACATCAGCTTAAGGGGTTGGTCATATTTAGTGTTGTTAGGCAAATTTTCATGGGAGAAATCCAGTAATTATGATAGAAACCTGCACAATCAGTTTTTTCTGTGAGGACAAAACATTACCCCACATTTCCTCAAGTTTAAGTTGGTCACGAGATGACCAGCAGAAAGCTACTTGGTTTGAAAGTGACTTCTGTGTGGGCTATGCTTTATACATCGCTACACTATTGACAATAGACAATGGACCTTTTTTGCCCGCATAATTTTTGGCAAAAGGTCTCTAATATGGCCACAGTCAGCCAGCATGTGCGGAGACTGTAAGAATCAGTGGGAAGTCCCATGAATCTTATAATCCTTCTCTAACAGAACAAGCCTTTATATGTAGCAAGTTCTAAATATAACTTTCGCCAAAATTACTATGTCAAGGCAAATGTGTTGAAGACACTGTCAGGCAGTCAATTTACAAAATGATGAGCTGTTTCAACACTAAAGCAATTGAAGCATCTTCTCCAATGACTTTCATTCAAACAGAACTACCTCATCTGCCTGTCGAAATTACGCCCCTGTTACACCTTTTTGAGTTAACCTTGAAAGCTTCCCCTGCAGGAAAAGATTGGATGATGTGCCCCTATGCTGGATGCTGCAGGCTGACCGAGCAGAAATCACCATCAATGCAATATGCACCTATTGTGGATGCTGCTCCAACCATCAGAATTAACTACCACCCTGACATGCCCCTACTATGGATGCTCTCCAACCATTTAGAAATAACCATCACTACGACGTGCCCCTACTCTGGATGCTGTAACCTACCCATCAGAATTTTCTAATGCAGTTTATTCAGCATACTGAGGCAACTCCTCCAATGACTTTCATTCAGTCAGAACTACCTATTGTCTGCCTGTCAGGATCCTACACCATTCTGAGCTAACCTTCAAGGCTTCCCCTGCGGGAAGTGCTCTGGTGACATGCCCCCACTCTGGATTCTGTTTATTGACCAATCAGAAATCACAAGCGCTATACCGCACCTATTCTACTGTATATGCTGCTCACCTATCCATCAGAATTATCTAAAATGAGGTGACATGTGGCCAAGTATGGTGACCCATACTCGGAATTAGTGCTCTGCATTTATCCCATCCAAAGTGCACACACACAGCAGTGAACACACACACACCGTGAACACACACCCGGAGCAGTGGGCAGCCATTTTTGCTGCGGCGCCCGGGGAGCAGTTGGGGGTTTGGCGCCTTGCACAAGGGCACCTCAGTCGTGGTATTGAAGGTGGGAGAGAGCGCTGTACATTCACTCCCCCGACCTACAATCCCTGCCGGTACGAGACTCGAACCCGCAACCTTTCGGTTACGAGTCCGACTCTCTAACCATTAGGCCACGACTTCCCCTACCACCCTGCTCATTAACCCATCAGAACGGACTTTCATTTTGTCATTCCCCTACTTTGGTTGCTGCTTACCAACTCACCAGAACTTTCCATTCCTCTGAGGTGCCTATACGTTGGATGCTGCTGATTACTTAATCAGAAATGACCATGATTCCAACATGCCTCTTACACAAAGAGCTGCTTACCAACCAATTACAATTAATCTTCACTCTGACATGCAACCAGTCTGGATGTCGCTCACCAACCCATCAGAACTAACCCTTTTTCTGACATGCCTCTACTCTGAATGCCGGTCATCAACACGTCAGAACTAACCATCATCCTGATGTGCCCCTACTCTGGGAGCTTCTCAACAACCCATCAAAATCGTTTTGGGTATTTCACTTTTAAGTGTCAAAAAGCTATCAGTTTATAGGACAACTAGGATTAAGCTAGCTAGCCTAAGCTAAATTCTGAACACTCAACAAACTTTTCTGTCAAACAGTATAAGAAAGTAATCTCACAATTTAAAAGGTCCAAATTTGGTATTAAACCAAGGTCCCAAAGTAGCTAAGCTTGCGTACAACTGCTTAACTAAATTAAGCCAAAGGGAAGAAACCTTAAATCTAATGTTTTACAACATATGTTAGAATTCAACAGCTGCTACCATGAAGGCCAAGTTGGTTTCTTGTAAGCAATTAAACTAGTCACAACACAATTTTGGCCTGTTTTAGTTCTGAGGTGATGGTTGGTCAAAAGAACATTTAAAATTTTGTTTGACAAGGACACATCAGTCTGAGTGGGTTGTGGATGCATGCCTGGAACTGCCTTTCCCCCCTGGAACATTCACAGCATGTTGGCAAAGCTAAAATCACAATTCATCCCCACGCCGGCCCTGCCAACAGTCATTTGCCCAGGTGCCAGGTCTGAGCATTTGCTCGGTGAAGAATGTGGCATACGTTGCCAGAAAGACCTGCAGAGACGAGATTGACAGCAGAGAATGTACGATCTCACCCCCTCTCCTTTTCCCTGGCTAGCGTTCACTTTCAGTAATGCTCTTTTCCAAACCCGGCAATCTCTCTTTTCTCCCCTAACTATCTTTCTCTTTGTCCAATGCTGTAACCTAACCTGACTTGCTAGATGGCTTTCTTTCTTTTTTTTGACTTTCACTGTCCAATGCTCTTATCCTAAGTTAACTAGCTAATTTTTTCTTTACTTCCTTATTCCATCCATCCACCTATAAGTCTTTCTTGCATAATTTCATTCATCCTTCCTTCTATCCTTTTTTAACCCCTTCATACATACATCCTTCATCCATTTACCTTTCTTTCTTTATTTTTTCTTTCTTCTAAATCAGTTTGTCTGTTTTAGTACACCTTTTTAATTTGTTCGACCATCTATTCTTTTTCTTTCTTTCTTCATCCATCCATCTTTCTTTTTTCTTTCTCTCCATCTGTTTCTCTTTTTCATCCATTTGTACACCCATCGATCCTTCTTTCTTCCATTTCACCATATTTTTCCTTTTTTCCTTCAATTAATCCAATCCTCTTTCCTTAACTATTTCTTTCATCCCTCCATTTTTCAGTCCCATTGGTTCTTTTCTATCTCTATTGTTTTTCTTTCTTTCTTTCTTTCTCAACCCATTCATCCATCCATCCTTCATTCATTTACCCTCGTTCTTTCTTTCTTTCTTTCAACCCCTTCATCCATCCATCCATCCATCCATCCTTCATTCATTTACCCTCTTTCTTTCTTTCTTTCTTTCTTTCTTTCTTTCAACCACTTCCATCCATCCATCCATCCATCCATCCATCCATCCTTCATTCATTTACCCTCTTACTTTCTTTCAACCCCTTCATCCATCCTTCATTCATTTACCCTCTTTCTTTCTTTCTTTCTTTCTTTCAACCACTTCCATCCATCCATCCATCCATCCATCCATCCATCCTTTTCATTTACCCTCTTACTTTCTTTCAACCCCTTCATCCATCCTTCATTCATTTACCATCTTTCTTTCTTTCTTTCTTTCAACCCCTTCATCCATCCATCCATTCTTCATTCATTTACCCTCTTTCTTTCTTTTAACCCCTTCATCTATCCTTCATTCATTTACCATCTTCCTTTCTTTTTTCTTTCTTTCTTTCTTTCTTTCTTTTTCAACCCCTTCATCCATCCATCCTTCATTCATTTACGCTCTTTCTTTCTTTCAACCCCTTCATCCATCCATCCTTCATTCATTTACCCTCTTTCTTTCTTTCAACCCCTTCATCCATCCATCCATCCATCCTTCATTCATGTACCCTCTTTCTTTCTTTCAACCCCTTCATCTATCTATCTATCTATCTATCTATCTATCTATCTTTCTTTCAACCCCTTCATCCATCTATCCATCATTCATTTACCCTCTTTCTTTCTTTCTTTCTTTCTTTCTTTCTTTCTTTCTTTCTTTCTTCCTTCAGTACATTAATCTTTATTTCCTTCTCTTTAATCATTCATTTGTAACAATCCATCAATCAATTATTTTTCTTCCTTCCATCATTTCATCCTTCCTTCATTAATTTATCCATTGCCACTTCCTTTTCTTTCTTCCTTCCTTGTTTCATTCCTCCATCCTTCAGTGCATTAGCTTTTCTATCTGTCTCTCTTTCTTCCTCTTTGTCTAATGCTCTTACCCTAACCTGAATGGCTTCCCCCACCATCCAAACGCTCTTATCCTCACCTGCCTAGCATTCTCTCTCTCTTTCTCTGTCATTCTGCCTCATTTTTATTCTTCCCTGTTTATCTCCCACTTGTGTGTGCCATAAAGTAGACCATGGAAAACAGGCCAGGATGCTAAAGGATGGAGGATACTGTCTCATCTGCTCATTCCCTCTATTAATTTAAATCTGTCATTATATTGCTCACAGTGCAAGCAACAGTGTAGTGCACTTTGGTGTCATTTGCACAATGCTCACATCACGCATGCAGAGAAGTGATGCATTGCCCCAAAACATCTTCAAATCGTACTTTTCAAAGCCGTTTTCCTTTTAAACTCTGATCTTGGGTCTCCCAGCTTGCTAATTACTTCTAATTTATTGCACTCTTTTTTAAACACTGAGCAAACGTGTTACAAAGGTTGTGTCCTTTTCTGATGCTGCAGCTTTAAACTTTGCCCACGGCTTTTGCACTCACACAGAATACACCCGGTAAACAAACTTCAGCTGTATGAAGTTAGATTTTTAGTCACATAAACATCGCATTAAACATCAATTCTCTTGGGCGAGCTGTGAAACAAATTTGCACATTTGAAGTTTCAGGCAAAAAAGGTGAGTCCCAATTAGCTTGAATCACTGGCATGGATTTTACCACTCTACGCTATGTTGTTTTGAGACTGTGCTTGTTTGTGTCGCTCATTATCTTATAATGAGTGAATCACAATAATTTATTGAAAAAGATAATCGTCATTAGCATTTCAAACAGAATGACTAATAGATATACCTGTCACGAATGCCACAGATGTCAAACTGGAGCTTGCTGTAGTTTCCCAGCAGGCCTTGCTGCACCAGGTAGAAGTTGATTGGCTGGTTGTTAATGATAACAGAGCGCATGCAGCCTTGATATGCCAGTGTCGGATTCCGACAACCCTGATTGGTTAACACTGATGGGCAACCTGTTAAAAATATTTACAACAGAAATAATAGATAATAAATCTCAATAATGTGGCAGTGTAACCAGAGTCGCTGTAGTTAACAAAAACTAAAAACACAATTGTCGTTACGTAAAGAGTGCTTTAACTGTAATAAAGTAAAATATAAAAACAAACTTATTTCAGCTACTTACCAAGGAAGCATTTTACATTTTACATTTTCATTTAATTTAACCTGATGTACTAATATAAGAAGATAAAACTAAACACAATTGTCGTTACGTAAAGAGTGCTTTAACTGTAATAAAGTAAAATATAAAAACAAACTTATTTCAGCTACTTACCAAGGAAGCATTTTACATTTTCATTTAATTTAACTTGATGTACTAATATAAGAAGATAAAACTGAAATAAATTTATTAAAAACTATATAGACATAACAAAACACAAAACAAAATTACTAAATTACCTAAATTAATAATTGTTATTAACTAAAATTTATATGAAATCATGAAATGTAAAATAAAATAAAATATACAAATAAAATCGAATTCAAAATATTAATAAAAAACATATAAGTATCTCACTGATACAAAAATTCAAGTGTGTAAGAAATGTAAATAAAATCATATAAATGAAAAAGCACGCATTTGTTGTTAAAAGCAATAAATTTAAAACTAAAAGTAAAGCTTTATCTTTTCACTAATTACATTTTGTCAATATATTTGGTTTTGACTATTAGCTCTTTCAGTCATAATAAGTGTAGTCTCAGCATCAGACATCACACACATAGTTCATGGCATAGACTCTTTAAAATACGTCCAAGAATTTTACACACTGGTCTGTTATTGTAGGGATATTTCCACGCCCCTAAACATGACGCGGCACAAAACAAAACATGATTGGCCATTCAAAGTGGCCAAGGTTCCCAGACCTTCTGCTGTCAGTCTGAGAGTCTGGCCACGCGAGACTATAATAAGTATGGTACTAAAATTTGTAGTAATTCTTTAGAAATATTAGCTCAGAAAGCAGCCTGATATCATCTGCTTTAAGAAATATAAATCTCACAAAACAGGGCCACAATCCACCTCAAAAATATTATTATTTTTTCAAATTTAATCATATTTTAGGACCATTACAATTGTTTATTTTGTGAAAGTTTGATTCTCATTATTGTAATGCAGTAATTTAATGTTATTATTTAGCACTCATCTATTGCTGATTTTGTATTTTTATCTATTCATTTATTTATTTATTTGCATGAAAATTAGCTCTCAGTGTAAAATATCTTAATGGTCCTAAAGTACTGTAGTCTTAATTTTTGCATACCATTTCATATTTCTTTCTTTTCATTTTGGGGTGAAATGTGTATATTCTTCACAATTAAGCATCCAGTAATCCATGATAAAGCTTGCATGATAAAGAACCAAAAGAAGGGGATTTTGTAATTATAGCCCACACGATTCCGTTGTACATATTTTATTAGTCAAAGCTTTGAATTGTAAAACTGAAGGGTTAGTTTGTTTGTTTAAATCCACTAGCACCCTACCTCCAATTAGCACGCTCCTCTCAGGCTGTGCGATGTCCTTGAGCTGCATGGTGGACGGTGGCTCGTCATCCACCGTGAGGGAAACCTGGAAACCTCCCACGCTAATGGACACCGTGTGCCATTGGCCGTCACTCAGAGCCTGACCTGGCAGAGGAAGACATGGAGCAATGTTACGCCTCAAATGCTGCGCATTAATCAGGGCGAATGATTGACAGATCTGGGGTTTGTGCGCTGGAGCTCAACGAGTTAATCTGCATATGTCAGCCCGGCAGAGAATCCACTATTCCCTTGAGAGGGACGTGCAGAGATTCAGTTTGCCGTCTGCGATGGCAGCCTGCCAGGCAGCCGCATCCAAAATTAATTCGACATACAGGTGTGCCTGCCAAAGAGTGTTTTACAACTAAAAATCCTGTTTGAATTCTCGGTAAATGCTTTTAGGGTGAATGTGTGCATGTGGGATAGGATTTTGTTCATGTTGTTGTGTGGCGGAGATGCAAAATGTGAAGACAAGCGCATAACCTTGTATATTTATCCCTTGGAGGGTCTTCCCTTTCACATCTGTTGTTCTTAATTTAAGCTAATTATAATTAGACTAAGGGAGCATTTGTATCGACAGTGGTTTGCAGCGACAAAACAACCAGTTTATTTTTGCATATAAGAGTTGGCATATTTGAGATTAAATAATAATAATAGCTGTTGTTGTTATTATAATATTTCTAACAATAATTATATTATTGTTAATAAAAAACTATTATTTAAAAAAATTAATAAAATAATAACAGCAAATGTTATATTTTTAATAGCTGTTGTTATAAATACAATAATAACATATTATTGTCAATAACAAATTATTATTATCATCATCATCATCATCATCATTATTATTAAGAAGAAAATATATTTCCCCTTCAGTCAGTCACTTTCAAAGTTACATCGATACTGATGTATGGGGTTTCCCTTGGGAGCCCCAATAATCTCTGAGTAGTAAAAAAACAGGCTAATGAACATTGATGAGTGGAATTTGCATGCCCAGCCACTCCCCTGTACACACAGGTATATAAGAGGGCAGCATGCATCTCCTCATTCAGATTTTTGCTTCGCAGCCTAACCTTTGCTGCAATATGTGCTTCTCGTTTTCTACAATCACCTGCGCGAAATTCTCATCGTTGGACACTTCTGTTTATGGCACATTCAGCAGTGTTTCGCCAGTAATAGCATGGTTAAGTGCTGTGATCCCCCCCTGAGCAGTTTCCCTTAAAGAGCTACACGGACGAGAGTGTCTTTTTAAAGATGTCTCTTCGTCCGTGCTTTTCTGGATGTGGTCATTTCCTGACACCCTCTGACGGCCACGATCGATGTCTCACATGTCTGGGCCGTAAACATTCTGAGACTTCGTTCGTGGATGGTTCATGCCCTTATTGTAAGCGCATGTCCATGGCAACTTTGAGATCGTTACTCTGCCTCCTTGTGAGGGTGGAAGCCCCCTCAGCTGCTCCCTGGCCTGGGACTTCTTGGAAGCAGATGTCCTCGCTGGTTAGCACTCAGGGAAATCTGAGGGTTACAGTGGGAGCTCTTCCACCAGGCCAGTCCACACGGACCTCCCACTCCTTTACGGTATTACGTGCCATTGAGCTTCCGAAGAAGATTGCTGGGCCACCTCGCAGCTGTCCGACAGTTTTGTTTGGGGCTCCAGAGGAGGATAAGATATCAATCACGGCATCGGAGGGATCAGACGCTTCAGAGGATGAGGACTCTGCTGAGCTTCCTCCTTATGGAAGGATTGCAAAGTCAGAGTCTGACTCTGAACTGTCTGCTATGCTTTCCCAGGCAGTCGAGAACATTGGGCTTGAGTGGAAGCCTCCACCCAACACAGAGCATTCTCAGCTGGACGATTGGTTCCAGGGCACGGGATGCGACTCGCAGCCGCAACCCGCCTCAGTGCTATTTTTCCTGGAAGTGCATGAAGAGGTCACGAAGTCACCTTTCTCTGCCCAAAGCTGCTTTGCTGCCTCCTCCTCCCTCACTACCCGCGATGGTGGGCCTGTCTTTAAAATTCGATCAGATTGTTTTTTATGAGTGTATGCACATCGTTCTCTGTACGAATTGTTCTAGATGCGGCACGGTGCTGCTCTTCTCATCCGGTGTGCGACTAAGGTGACTAAGGTCAAGGCGCAGGCCCTTGGCCAGACGATGGCCACCTTAGTGGTCCAGGAGCGACATCTCTGGATCAGCCTTGCTGAGATGAGGGATACCGACAAGGCTCACTTTCTTGACGCCCCCATCTCACAGGCTGGCCTCTTCGGAGACACTGTCGAGGACTTTGCCCAGCAGTTCTCGGCAATCCAGAAGCAGACCGAGGCCATCAATCACATCTTGCCCCAGCATGATACTACTGCCACAGGTTGGCTTCCAGTCTGCTCGTTGTCGAGGGCATCCCCCTGTGGCGTCTACATCTGCTCTAGTGCAGGCTGTCGTGACACCTCAGCTACAATGTCGAGCCACCTGCCAGGACCCTTGCACTGCTGTGTCCTGTTTGTGCCATGCGTGTTTACGTGGACCGCACTTGAGCTTTAGAAGTTCTGAGCAGCTCTTTGTCTGCTTCGGAGGGCAGCAGAAGGGGAAGGCTGTCTCCAAACAGAGGTTGTCCCACTGGCTAGTGGATGCCATCACCTTGGCATACTAAACATAAGGTGAGCTGTGCCTCTAGGAGTAGGGCTCACTCGGTTCAGAGTGTGGCCTCCTCCTGGGCACTGCCGCATGGCACCTCTCTAGCAGACATCTGTAGAGCCACAGGCTGGGTGACACCTTATACCTTCGCGAGGTTTTACAGCCTCTGGGTTGAGCCGGTTTCTTCCCGTGTGTTGAGTACTAACAGGTAAATGGTGAAAAGACTGGCTCAGTGTCTCGCTTGCACTGCCGTCACCCTTCAACAGGGGATGTGAACGCCATCTCATCTCTCCAGGCGTGTTCCTCATCTGACGAACACTGGATTGAGCATCCTCCAAGCACACTCCAGCTGTCAGGCTCGGCGGAGGAGCCTGAAACCAGGATCAGTACTTGCATTGGCTGGCCCTTTGGACAGCTGCTGTACTGATCTAGGTGCCCCACATGTAGTGATTCCCTTCTGGTGATCCCATGTGTGTATTCTTCCACGGTACGGTTTCCCTGTTGGTAAACCCATGTCTTCCCTTGACAGAATTACTTCTGTCTAGTCTCTGCTTTGGTAGTAGTTCCTCCCCTTTTCAGGCAGGACCTACCACAGTGATTGCCATATGTAGTATTGCCCAACTGGTCAGTCCATTTGTGTACTCTCCACATGTTACCTTCCTTTGGGAAGGATGTGGTCTCCATAACGTCCTTCTCTGCTTGGACTAAGGCTGGCTTCCCTAGTGTAAATCAACTGGTCGCGGCTGTACCATTGTCAAATATGAAAGAGCACAAAGCACTCTTTCCCGTTGCGAGTACAACAATGAACTCAAAGTTAAGGAACAACAGCTCACAGCCCTCCTCGCTGTGAGCACTGCTCTTTCTGTCCCAATCCGGTACGAAAGATTTCTGGCTAGCAACGAGGCACTGGGTAGGTTACGATGTGGGGTGCCAGTTGTTACTTGCCATGCTTGAGCCTGCCAGCATCTGCATCATCAAAACTTGTGACATAGTTCAGTGGTTGTGGCGCTTTCCATATGAACCCATTCATCAGTATCGAAGAAACGCCGAAAGTGACTGACTGAAGGGGAACGTCTCGGTTATGGTGTTATTAGCTATTGTCATTATTATTATTATTATTATTATTCAAATTACATCATTATTTTGTTTTTTGAACCATTGGATAAAGATTTCGGCTGACAGCTATTATTATTATTATTATTATTGTTGTTGTTGTTGTTATTTTTGTTTTTGAAATATTATGATTCAAATTACATTATTTTGTGTTAAGGTTGTATGTTCAAACCCCAAAAGGTGAGCTCCAGAAAGATACACATACACAAGTAGACATCTCACCGATGACTATATCAGAGTTTTGCAACGCTGATCTGTGGTGTGTGAGTCTAAGCTGCCCATGAACAAGAAGCAAAAGCAGTCTCTCTGAATCTCTCCTCAGCCAGGCCGAAAGTAACATCCCTTCCCGGTTCCATGTCCGGAACTGGAACGTCACCGACAGCGTTTCCGTGGCAGCATCCATTGGAAGTGACAGGAAACTGCTGCTAGAGCTCAAGAAGGTGGCGGATACCAGTTGAGGCTCTGAGCAGGTAAAAGTCACATTCCCCTGAAATGACAGGTTATGAGAGGGTTAAAATGGAGTACTAGAGTAAAAATATCAGGATATGTGTGTGTAAAAGTATTTTGGTGTAGTAAATATTTCAGTGTTTGCACAATAACAAACAATTTCCCCTGAATCTAAACACAAATCCATGCAGAAATATGTTCTTTTCCTTTGACAGGTTTTGCCTGCAGGCGGGCAGACTGAGCGACAGGGGAATAAACAGTAAGTCAAATGTCAGGACTTCGAAGACTGCAGGTCTCCACGGAAACAAAATAGGGGTCTGTTTTTAGACCAACAGTCCAATGGCACTGGACTATATAGTGGACAGTCCATTGATCCGTCTTTCTGTGTGGTCTCAGACAGCGAGTCACAACAGGACCGGCTCCAGACCGTGGGCCTATCGCATGGTGAACCGCTAGAGGAAAAAGAATGTGTCTGGATTCTTTAAGTAAGGAGGTGACGGAGCGCTAGCTAAACACAATCCAATAAAACCCCAAACACCACAGAAACACCTGAAGCCTGTGGAGACACACTTTACTCCATCTAGAAGGAAATACAACTAATTAAAGCCAACAGGAAACAACATTCGCATTACCAATTTACTTCCGTAATGAAGTATTTCTGAGTAAAAACATTACTCTGAAAAAAATTAAAAAATAAATAAAATAATAATAAAAATAATAATAAACATTTTTTTATAAAAGCCAACAGGAAACAACATTCGCATTACCAATTTACTTCCGTAATGAAGTATTTCTGAGTAAAAACATTACTCTGAAAAAAATTAAAAAATAAATAAAATAATAATAAAAATAATAATAAACATTTTTTTATAAAAGCCAACAGGAAACAACATTCGCATTACCAATTTACTTCCGTAATGAAGTATTTCTGAGTAAAAACATTACTCTGAAAAAAATTTAATAATAATAATAATAATAATAATAATAATAATAATAATAATTTGCAAACAACATTTGCATTTTCAATAGATAGATAGATAAATAAATAAATAAATATTCACTTATTATTCACTTGTCAATTTAAAGTCAACACACACCACATTCACAATTATTTTAGTTTCAGAATGAAGTATTTCTAAGTAAAAGCAATACTCTAATAACTAAATAAATAAATACATATTATTATATTATCATTTTATAATAATAAAATAATAATAAATTTATTATATTATCATTTTATAATAATAATAATAATAATAATAATAATAATAGTAATAGTATTTTAAATTAAAGTCAGCAGCAAAGAGTATTTGCATTCCTATTTTACTTCCAAAAATAAATAACTAACAGTTATAAAAAAAACTATTTTTTCTTGTTTTAAAGCAGAAACCATAATAAAGTCTGATTTATTCATGACTGATCTTTTTTTACAAAACAAGATATAAACAATTTGGAAACAAACATATTAAGTTAGAAAAATAAATTTCATTTTGTGAATAACATATATTCTATGAAAACAAAGCTTCTCAAGTAAATGCAAAAATCTTTTTTTTTTTTTTTGCCGTGTCAAAAGTCCGCCCTGGTCGAATCAAACAGGTTAGGATACATTCAAATGCAATATAACAGACATTAAAAAGTCCTAGACCTTTTGACCCTAGTAATCCCAGGCACAGTGTATCCCACATACGCTCTTAAGTCCCACTACGATCACGCTAGTCGCTCAAGAGACACCATGCCTCATTGGCTGGCTCTAATTGGGCTCCAAAGGCCCCTTAGGAGCCTGTATATTTGCCTTGCTGAAAATTTACTGCATAATTGAGAGCGAGTGGAGGTGTCTGCTGTGAAAATCTCAGAGGGTGGCATGGAATAAGTGGGATTCGGACCGCTCTGTCATTAGTACCAGAGTCCCACTGAACTCCCTACCGGTCCATTAAAGGATGCAATATCCAGCATGTGGGCCAGATTAATGGCTGCAGTGATTAGTTGTGCTCTGGTGTAGTCCACTGCACTGATGTGACGTGATATAACAGCCGACGACAAGCTATTACACATAATCACAGTGGGGAAACGGGTGCTAACAATATGAAACTATGAGAATGGGAACTCGCAAAAGTTGCTTGATTCAGAGGACTGTGTTTCCTCGAGCCTCAGAACTGGGAAAATGTAGAAAAACAAAGCAGGACTGTGGATGTATATTCCAGTACTGCATCATAAAAAATACTGTCATTATCAGGGATTTACGCCCAAATAGTCCTACTAAAACAGCTGCTTAAAAATAGCCCATCCATCCATCCATCCATCTATTATATAGTGGTTCAGTACAGAACCACTTCAACTCTGTGATGTTGGTGGGTTTTCCTCATATGAACTGCTTGCTTCAGGTCATTCCACAACATTTCAATTGGATTAAGGTCTTTTGACTTTGATCATTACAAAACATTAACTTTGTTCTTCTTTAACCATTCTTTGGTAGAATGACTTGTGTGCTTGGGGTCGTTGTCTTGCTGTATGACCCACTTTCTATTGAGATTCAGTTATCAGACAGATGTCCTGACATTTTCCTCTAAAATTTTCTGGTATAATTCAAAATTCATTGTTCCATCGATATGATGGCAAGCCGTGCTGGCCCAGATGCAGTCGTGGCCTAATGGTTAGAGAGTCGGACTCATAACCCAAAGGTTGTGGGTTCGAGTCTCGTACTGGCAGGGATTGTAAGTGGGGGGAGTGAATGTACAGCGCTCTCTCCCACTTTCAATACCATGACTGAGGTGCCCTTGAGCAAGGCACCGAACCCCCAACTGCTCCACGGGCGCCGCAGCATAAAAGGCTGCCCACTGCTCCGGGTGTGTGTTCACGGTGTGTGTGTGTTCACTGCTGTGTGTGTGCACTTTGGATGGGATAAATGCAGAGCACTAATTCCGAGTATGGGTCACCATACTTGGCCACATGTCACGTCACTTTCACTTTCACCATGTTTCACAGATGGTATAAGGTTCTTAAGCTGGAATGCAGTGTTTTTCTTTGTCCAAACATAATGCTTCTCATTTAAACAAAAAATTTCCATTTTGGTCTCATCTATCGATTAAACCTTTCTCCAGTAGGCCTCTGGTTTGTCCACATGATCTTTAGCAAACTGCAGACGGGTTCTTTTTGTGTCTTTTTGTGTCTTAACATTCTTCAATGTTCTTTTTGGAGAGCAGTGGCTTTCTCCTTGCAACTCTGCCATGTACACATTTGTACACATTTTGTCTGACTGTGGATTTGTGGATTCCAAACTCATAAGAGATGGTTTTGTAACCTATTCCAGCCTGATGAGCAACAACAGCTCTTTTTCTGAGATCCTCAGAGATCTCCTTTGTTCGTGCCACGATTCACTTCCACAAACATGATCAAACTTTGAAAACAGGGCATGCACTGACACCTGATAGTCATCCCACTGTTTGAAAACACCTCTGAACAGATAGACTTTAACTTCACCTTCAAATTAACTGCTAGTCCTAGAGATTCACATACGTTTGCCACTCACAGATATGTAATATTTAGCAATTTTCCTGAATAAATAAATGACAAAATATATATTTTCATCTCACTTGTTTGATTTGGTTCTCTTTGTCAACTTTCAGGACTTGAGTGAAAACTTGATGAAAACCTATATACTGTATATATAGTCACATTTATATATCTTGCTCTAAATTTCCTTATTTGTAAGTCGCTTTGGATAAAAGCATCTGCTAAAGGACTAAATGTAAATGTAAATTTATATATCCATCTAGGTCCATATCCATCTATATCTCTCTAGTTATATAGCCATCTTCATCTATCTAATTGTATATCTGTCAGGTTATGTCTATCCATCTATATCTATCTAGTTCCATATCCATCTAGTTCTCTATCCATCCACATCCATCAAGTTCTCTATCCATCTTTATCTATCCAGTTAGATGGTTCTAACATATGGTACCTAGTTCTATATCTATCAGGTTATATCCATCCATCCATCCATCCCTTATTCCATACTCATCTAGGTACCCACCCATCCATACATACATATCCATTCAGGTATTCAATCCATCCATTCATATCCTTCTATGTATCCATCCATCCATCCATCCATCCATCCATCATCTCTCAGTCTACAAGGTCATATATCTTGCTCTAAGTTTCTATATCCATCTAGTTCCATATCCATCTATATCTTATATACCCATCTTCATCTATCTAATTCTATATCTGTCAGGTTATGTCTATCCATCAATAGGGCCTTTCGCACCGCGGGAACCTTTTCATAGTACCAGAACTAATTGTGGAACTACCCACTTTTTGGCGTTTTCGCACCGCCGGAACTGGGTGCGATTTTAGTACCGGACTGCCTTTTTCGAGAACCAAATTAGCTCCTACTCCGGAGCAGGGTCTAACCAGCACAACTGGTACTAATCGTGACGTAAGTAGACATTGATTGGCCAAACGCGTACGAAAACGCCCTCAACCGCCATGATTTAAAACGCTGTGTAAACATACTGTAAACATTGTGTCAACTTATTTCGCAAGTATGGAGAACAGCGATAGATGGACGGACGCTGAAGTGCAGGCACTTGTAGCAAATGTAGCACTGCCAGTTGTCGTTGGAGATTCTTAGTCCTCCTTTCCGTTCTTTCAATCGCTTTACGTATACGTCGACTTTCCATGTCCATTATTGTGAAACCCGCGAGACACAACAAAAACACAGCTCCGATCACAGCGTCCTCCATCCTCCTGTTGTTAATGTTGTTCTCCTTTGTTTCTGTTGTTGAACGCCGCGCACAAATGACGGCGCTGTCGACCGGCTTACGTCACTTCTTAGTACACACTCTAGGTGCGAATGCAACCCTTTAAATGGTACTGGGAAATAGTTCGCGTAAAATCGTCCCAGTACTTTAGAACTGTACATTTAGTTCTGGAACTAAAGTGGTGCGAAAGGCCCTTATATCTATCTAGTTCCATATCCATCTAGTTCTCTATCCATCCACATCCATCAAGTTCTCTATTCATCTTTATCTATCCAGTTCTTTATCAACCTAGTTCTATATCTATATACATCTATCAGGTTATATCCATCCATCCATCCATCCATCCCTTATTCCATACCCATCTAGTTCTCCATCAATCCATCCATCCATTTCTCTGTCTATCCATTCATATCCATCCATCCATCTAGGTACCCATCCATCCATCCATACATATCCATTTAGGTATCCATCTATCCATCCATCCATCCATATCCATCTAGGTATCTATCCATCCATTCATATCCATCTAGGTATTCATCTAGGCATCCATCCATCCATCATCTCTCAGTCTACAAGGCCATAAACATTCAAATTTCAAATAACTCAACTATAAAACACGCCTCTTGTGACTTATTGCTTTGATCTTCAATTATAAACGGTATATTTATGGATAATATCTCAATACAACCAAAACAATATGAAATAAAACAGGCATATGAAAATTACACATGTGGAGTAGTCAGATAAGCAGAAACGTGTCATTACACAAAGCCATTCCTCTCATTAAAACCCTTCCTTCATTTCAAAATGACTGTAATTCAGTCCCCAGACCTTTGGCGAGTTGGATTTTATGAGGTATTCGTCAGTGGATCATTTATGAGGTGTAATCTAAGGCCCGAGCAGCTCTTGGAGAGTGATTGCGCACCTTGTAAAAGATATTTTAATGACACGGCTCTAAGCACTGTGGAAATAATGTGGACAAAACCACAATTCATTCTCTTAAAAAGCTCCCTTGTGGTGCCATAGTATACTGGCGACGACTCAAAAAAATCAGAATGGCTCCATTTCGCTCCCTGCTGACCAGTTCCACAGAGAACTACACCAGCGTTAAGATGCATTTCTGGAAAAATGCAGGTGAAAACTAATGTGAATGAAAATATAAATCAATCTCTTTGCAAACACTGTTTGTGCTCCAACTACCAAAATTCATCACAATCCACAGTCTTGGCAACAGAAAGTTCTGGCACCTTTCCATGCTGGTGCTATTAGGGAAAAATCACTAAATACTCAGGTCAAGAACCATCCATTATGGATAGGATGGGATGGGATTGCTAATTCATCAAGACCTGTGGTAATTTTTCTTATTTTATAGCTTTTTCATGGCTCTGACAACAACAATAACAAATGTATGAGAAGATCAATAATAAATGTATAAGGTAAACATCCTCACCACACTGTAGATCTGAGGTTTGCGTCGTTTGGCTAAGTCAATGATGTTGACCCCATTGTAGTAGAGGTTCTCCATACATCCATGGAAGTTTTTCCGCAGGAACGTGCCTGGTTTACCGGGAAGAGGGATTCCTCCAAAGCTGAGCTTTGTGAAATGAATGGGAAAACAACAGCAATGGAGAGGTTTTACAACATAGCGGGAAACGTGTCCAATCATTGGCCAAGTGATTTGGCGCTTGAGGTGTTACGCTCTTAACTAATCAAAATTACATGATTAAGGTCACTCTTTAAGTTTCCACTCTTTAAACCAACATGTTACAAGTACACAAGCTATTATGTTGGTCCAATCAACAATCTACAGCATTTTATGCACTGTTTTTGGGGCATATAAAAAATAGTAAACAGTAAATATTAGAATTAAAATTATTATTATTATTATTATTACTTGTAAAGCATAATTCATAAAATTATCTTCAAAGTGCAACAATATAAACAACAAAAATATTTTTTGCAATTATTTTTATTATGTTACTTGCATAGTGCATTTCATAAAATTCTCGGTAACACTTTATTTTAAGGTGTCCTTGTTACACATGTTACATGTACTTACTATTATAATAACAAATAAGTATGCATAATTACATGCAAAACCCAAACCAAAATCCCAACCCTAACCATATATTAAGTACATGTAGTTAATTAATATTACTCAGTACTTATATGTATAATTACACTGTAACAAGGACACCTTAAAATAAAGTGTAACCAAATTCTCTTCTAAATGCAACAGTATAAACAACAAAATGTATTATTATTATTATTGTTGTTGTTGTTGTTACTTGCATAGCGCATTTCATTTAATTATCTTCTAAATGCAACAATATAAACAACAAAAATATATTATTATTATTATTATTATTATTATGTTACTTGCATAGCGTATTTCATAAAATAATTTTCATTTGCTGCACTTCGTTAAAATATAAAATAATATTATTACAAATAGTAATTCACTTCAATGCACTTCAAAGTTTAGCTTAAAAAATGTTTGTGTACTTCATTAATAAATTATTTATTATTATATTTTACATGCATTTTACTTGCATATTTCATAAAATGCACTTCAAAAAGCAACATAGAAACAATGTAAACAACATAAATAGACAATGTAAATACAATTAACTGAAAAAAAAGATAAAAAGAAGAAAATAACTGATTGAACTGTTAATAGTCTAAAATTATTTAATTTTAATTAATACTAAATAAATACATGTAAATATATCCTATTTATTATAAATTGATTCTAGGTAATATTTCATTGGATAAAAATCTGTAGTCCAGGATGATTAATCAAATGTTTATTTTATTTTTTTCCTGGATAAGACTGTAAATTTAAAGATGCAAATATCTGCTAAATGTGAGGTGAGCTCAAACGTAACAAGCAATGAAACTTGGGGACTTTAATAAAAACTACTGTTAAGGATATCTATATGGATCTGCTAATAGACTGTACAAAATTGTAAAAAATAAAATTAAAGTATCCAAAAACATCCTCACCTCATAATCGACTTCAAGTGAATCATCCAGCCCACCCGTCCTCACGTGTTTGACTAGTCTGTCCACAGTGAAGTTGATCTGTTTGTTAAATCGCTCGATCAGGACGGAGTGCCAGTGCTGGTCGTCCAGAAGACTACCCAGAAACACAGAGACATGGCCACTGCTAGGATATATCTTAACGTCGTCTTGAGAGAAAAAGAGAGAAAGAAATATAAAATTTAAGGATTGAATTTTAGTTTTGCACCATCGCCTCGTTGTTGCTTTGTTTATGCGTTTATTTATGTTTAAGAAATTCACCAGAAACATACTGTTTAGCAGTGTTATTTTAGTATTATTTATATCCTACAATTTATATACTACTTAGCTTTAATTTTTTTTTATTTCAGTTTTTTTTTTTGTTGTTGTAATTTTAGCACTTCAACTCGCTATTTATTTCAGTTAAGCAATATTTCAAATTTTTGGTTTTAAGTTTTAATGTGCACCTGTATAAGTTAACCAAAATGTATAAAGGTGCATATAAATCAAATCCCATTTATATTATGCTAGCAACTGAAACAAAAATGTAAATGTTGTCGGAAGCAAACTTTTTATCAGTTGCTAATTTTATAGCATCTTTATAAGGGGCAACCTTAGAAAGAAAATTATCAAACGGTCTCTGCAGCTCTAGGGTGATGTAATCACCTCTTTGTCCCTCTCCATGCACAAGGACCCCATCCCCGCGCTGGCTCTTAAACCGTAGAGAGATGACGTCTTTCACAGTGCTGGTGGACTTCTGATTAAACCGGTACAGCAAAGAGCTCCTGCCGTTGAAATCTGCAACATCCGACTCTAAGAAGTGGAAGGGGAAAAAAAAGAATACATCATGGTCATAAATATTAAACAAGAAAAAAAAATATTTACCTATTCTTAAAAACTTTCATATTTTGTACAATTTTCCAGTAAATGTTTTTCTAAAAAAAGTGCTTGTTTTCACAATCTTTTATAACACAAAAAAAAATCAAAAACAAAGCAAAACACAACACAACAAAAAAGAGCAAAGCAAAACATAACATAACATAACAAACATAACAAAACAAACACAAAGCAAAAAAAAAAAAAAGCAAAAACAAAAACAATGCGAATCAAAACAACAAAACCCCACAAAGCACAATAAAACAAAAACAAAGCAAAAAAAACAAAAAGCAAAAAAACAAAGCAAAGCAAAAACAAATTAAAAACAAAAACCCAAAGCAAAGAAAAGCAAATAAAAAAACAAAGCACAACAAAACAAAAAGCAAAACAACACAACAAAATGCAAAGCATAAACAACAACAACCCAACAAAAGAATAAATAAAATAAAGTAAAATAAAATCCTACAGCTCTGGTAAAGCAATATTGAAATACTAAATTATTATTATTATTAACAACTTTCATTAATAAAACATACTATTTTTCCAGCTGAATATTTAATTTTTACTAAGAACTATGCCAAATTACAGAAATTAAATGTGCTTGCTGTTTTCAAAGTCTGCAAAATGTCACCTAAGGAAGATGGATTACAAGCTCATTTATTAGGAGCAAGACCATTTACAACGAGACAAAAGAAGAACTGCAATGATAAAGAAAGGCCCGTTTTAAGAGTTAGGGTCAGATTAATTTATCTTTGGCCAGAATTTGAAGAAATATGAAGCCTGTCTCGAAGCAACCCTTCAGAACTAATTCTACCCTAGGCAGTAAAAGGCAGAAATGTGGATTTTGACCCAGGCTCAGAGTTCAGACATTACGTTTTTGCTCTCTTTCTCCATCTCTCTCCTCGCCGGACGCTGGAGTGCGAGAGACTAAAGCTAACTAGCCGTGACAAGTAAAGCCTCGCAAAGAGCTCGGAGCCGTCTGCTGAATATAGAACTAACACAGAGGGTCCAGGAACATCAGCAAGCGCAATGAGACTGAGTTAGATAAAAGTGGGGAGATCAGACGAATGTGTTTGGTTTTCGTATTTTGCATGAGTTGCTGTCTTCATGGAGGCGCAATGCATATCAAGATGTAATGATAAAGAAATGTATCTTTATCTCAAAGTCTTTCAATCTAAGAGGCACAACAATAATCACCAAATAAACATAGAAGTTACATAAATGATGTCCTTGAGAACTGAAAGGATAGAAAGAAGAGAAGTTGAAAATACTGCCAAGTTTAAGGGGAGGAAAAACTAATGCATATTGTATAATCCTTCCTGAGGGGAAAGAACAAAAACAATGAAGTTCAAACTCGCGACTGCATCTGAACTCAGCCAGACGGCTCACTAAACACAACACACGGTGGATTCACATCATGATTGAATAATTTATTATTTAGGATTGTAGATGGTAAAATAAACGTATATTCTCTCTGTATATCTTACAGCCCGCATGAAATCTGTGCCCACAGAGATGAGAATAAAGACTAAATTGATCGCAAAGTCATTCAACGCTGACACCGTATTTCTGAATCCAAATTGTTGGTCCCACTTTATATTAAATGGCCTTAACTACTATGTACTTACATTTAAATTAATCATTTGGTACAATGCACTTACTGTGTACATACATGTTTTTACATTGTACTTATATTTGAAAAATACCTGCATGTAATTACATCTGTAATTCATTTCTGTAATTACATTTATAATTACACTGTTGACCCATCCCTTACACCTTAACCCACCCTTAAACTTACCCATACCACCAAACCTGTCCCTAACCTTACCCGTATCCCACCTCAATAGCAGCAGAAGTGTTTTGCAATACAATATGAACACAATAAGTACATTGTACTTATTTTTGGATGTAAGTACATAGTAGTTAAGGCCACTTAATATAAAGTGGGACCAAATTGTTTTATATATTGATAATGATTGGATCATGAAAAGGGTTTCATCATCTAATCATTATCATTAAATAAAACAATTTGTGAATTGAAATAATTCTGAAATAAAATATTATTATTAGATGAATATATATTTTCCTCTCTGAATCTTATTTCACTTAAAAATATGGAAGTGGTCTGAGATTGCCATTTCATACTGATCTAAAATATTTTTGAAAAATTGTTTGTATTTTGTTGACATCTTATTGCTGTTTATTTATTGTTCATGTTAAAAGGTTAAAATGATATACATTGCAATTAATAAAATAAAATACAAATAGGAACACATAATAATAATAATAAAAAAAAAAAAGTATCAAATTCTGTGAATTTTCCCAGCACAGAAAATGTGGGTGAAAACACATTCTGTGTGGGGCTGCTTCTTGCTTAAGACATACACAAAGTTGCCCACAAGCTCAGAGTTAGACCTCACTTTATCTGTGGGTCTCTTGGTGGCATCAACACAGCAGTGCTCCAGTGTGAAGTAATGACTATACAGGGACACACACACACACACACACACAGAGACAGACTTATGCTCTTGCTACACACTTCCCATTTCAGACATACACACAAACAGTTTGCACCACGAAGCCACGGCCTTAAATTACAGTTAGCAGCAGAGGCGCTTGACAGATTTAAAACTAATTGACTTGAGGAGCATTTCAGCAGTGCATGAATAAGGCCAATGCACCACTGAGGATGTCCGGTTTATCCCACAGAAGACAAATATGAATGTAGGGAGACCATGCGCTATCCTGTACGTGTGCGCTTACTTTCTGTCTCTCTCTTTATTAAGTCTCAGACATGTTGGAATTAATTTTACCCCCTATTTGACACCACATTTTCTGTTTGCCCCCTTTCATATTTGTCCTCTGTATTTCTTCCCTGGAATTCAGGTTAGCAGACATGTTCATATGCCCTTTGTGCTAACATTGAACACTGCCGTGTGAAGCCATTGTATGTTCGGCACATACTAGCGCAAGGCTAATTATAAATGTAATTACCGAGCACTAATTCACTGCCTGATTCATTCACGACTCCTTTGGAATGCAAGCTGCGCTAATGCTAATGCTAACCTGCCAGTGGTCTGACTTTGAGAAAGCACTAGCGTCTCCGTTATCAAACCCTATTACTGAAATACTGTGTGGTCAGCACTCACTTATCATGTTTGATCAACACAGTAAACCGAGTCGCCCCCAGCGGTGTCACATTCCGCCCTATCTCACGAAATTAACGCTTAGAGAATAAACATGGCGGTGATAGGTCGCCGAGTCAAGCTTTGAATTGACAATCGGTGCTGCTAGTGCACAGACTACAAATACAAAGCACCTGAGGAGAGACTGAGAGAAAGGAACAAGGAGAGAGTAGGGGAAGCAAAAAAAAGAGAGAAAACGAGCACTAGCAAGGCTATGTTATAAATATTTCAAGCGCAAGGCATGTGGTGCTGGCTACCCTTGAGGTAACCGATTGATTGTTACTCTGCACTTTGATACCCAGGGAAGGCAGGTCTAAACCAACTCAACCCGACTGCAGTAAAGCAACATGACAGTGAACTAGCTACAGCTAAAAACAGACTAGCTGAACTTTTGAAACAACAGCTCCCAACTCCTAAAGATTTGAAGAAAATCTGCACTTTCTGCACTGGAAATATATTGCCGCTCATTTAGCTGGTTGGCTTGTACGATAAAACTAAAATTAATGCAGAAATACCCTGGTTTTCCAAAGTGCTACCTAACTGAATATGAGCTTGCAGTTGGTAAACACGGAGATATTTTCAATTTTTTTTAGCATTGTATATTGTTGGCAGGTTTGGTTAGTTAGCATGTGCTGATAGACACAGTTACATCATTCTATTCACAATAAAATCAATACGATAGATTTAAAAAATAGATAGGACAAATATCCATTTCAATCAAGCTTTCATTGTGAATACATAAAGTACCAATTACACACCAAATGTACATTCAGTACTCACTGTATGCACAGCCATAGACCTCCACTCTGAGCCCCATCCATCCCCCGGGACTCCAGTCCACTGGCAAGAACCGCAGAAACTGTGTTCTTATGGAGTGTGAGAGCTTGTGGTGAACAATCCCATCTGAATTTGTATTTCCACTGAAAGTCTACAGGAGGAAGAAAATGTTAGCTTGCACAACAGTAACTTTCCAAGATTTGACCTTAGTATGTGCACTTCATGTGTTAATGAGTCAATATAATGTCGAACGAGGTTCTTCTGCTGGATGGAAGGCCTTTGTAGAGATGTAGCCACATTTCCCGCCGTTTGGCGAATTTTCATGGACAAAAAACACTCATTTCAAAAGGGAATTTATGTGATGGGGAATTTTGCATGAAGGGAGTTAATCACGCCACATTTTTTGCTAATGTGACCACATCTGAATGTGTTACTAGCTCTCCCACATCTATTAACATCTTGTGAGTGAGGTTTTCATAAACTTTGAGATATTTTCAGGTTTATTTAGTGTCTAAGGTGCAGATGTTGGCTCTGTACATTGTTAGCACTCCTGTGTTAAGGTTTGGCTAGATAGCATATGCTTACAGACAATTACTTCATCATTCTGTTTCTTCATTGACTGCTGATAGTTGCTAATGAAGGTCACTTACAGAAGTCGAAAAACTGACATTGAAGTTACTGGGAATGTTAACGGTTAGCTTTCTGCAGGCACTTTAGTCAACATAGTCTCAATTAGCATATAGGTTTACCTCAAAGAAACTCTTCCAAATTCAGAGAGTTTATTATCTATACATAGAGCTGAACTTTTGCCAAGCTGCATTTACCTAAGATTGAAAAAACTAACACAAAAAGTTAGCGGGGTGCCGCTGGCAACGTTAGTTTCTTTAAGCTGCACTCAAAGCGTTGCTGCTAATCTAAACCTCCAGTTTTAGAATAGCTGGGGGTCCTACCTCCAGCTGTAGAGCCTACCAGAAAAATGGCATGACCAGGAGGCACCTACTGCTCTTTAAAAATGTTTCACATCTTTTAATCTTCTACTCATTAAAATGCTTCACACCTTCAAATACTTCCATTAAACTCTGTTGTCAAACTAATCAGCACCTTTTTTCCTCCTGCTGGTTGGAAGATAAAAGAACCAAACATTAAACCATCATCGAACAAAAAAATTAAATAAAAATAAAGTTGTAATGAGATGAATTATCCGCAGAAAACGTATACACCACCTCCACCTCCTCCTACGGCTCTCTGTGTTTGTTTAGCTTCAATGATTACAAGCAGGAATCCAAGCTTTCATAATGAGAGACGACGGAGATGGCAAGTAAGATCTCAGGAATGTTTCGCCCCAGATCTTTTCGAGTCGGGCTAAATAAGAACGTCGGGGAATGATGGAGCTTTGAAATGACTAGTATTGATTCAGAAGAGGAGGGTGAAGCCCATTTGTTTGCCTGTAAGTGTGGAGGCAATGCAACCGCTGTCTCTTGTGGCGCAAGGGCCTTGACAATCGATTACAAAGTTGTCAAAATACAACTACCAAAAAAAAAAAAAGAAAACGTAATTCAAGTTGGGTAGACAAGGATTTCAGCTGCACTACCAGTGACCAGTGAGGTCAGGAGACCATGAAATAAGTTTTGTCAGGGATATAAAGCCACGTCACTCAAGATAGAAGGTGTATTTAATCTTAGTTTAGGCGATTAAGTGAAATTCAAGTCGGTAATTAAAGTTTAAACGTTTTGTGGGTGGCTGGTTTTCGATGGGAAGTGTGTGCCGACAGTGTCTGACAGTGCATGGGAGGATGCATTAATTTATCCTAGTAAATTATTATGACTTAGTTAAAGACACAGACACTTAATGAGTATGGGTGTGCATGCATTTTATTCCAGTTATAAAAGCCCCCCTGATTCACATTATCCGGAAAGCTTTTACAGTACTTATTGCAAAGTAGTAATGCATTATAAATATAATAAAGGATGGATTATTTATAAGAGTACTTGGAAAACTCACCCCTATGTTGTCCTCTTGTCTGAACTGCTTCCAAGCTCTTCCTGTGTCACTGTAAAGCAACATGTAACTCGTAACCCAATCAGGGCTCCCGAAACGACCCTGGGTCGCCACAGCTGTGACCTCGACCCGTTCTCGCAGATCCACCTGTAGCCATCGTAGCCTGTCTGTTCGTTCTGGAGCCCAGCCGCCACCTCCTAACACAAGAACAGAAGGGGTGAAGTCCAGGTACAAGCGACAAAAACATACAACATCAATAATTTAAGCTATCAACCTGTGTTGAGTTTGCCAGGCTACAAGGTAATTTTCATTTTAAGGTTTTGTCACCTTAGCGAAATTTCGCAAAAAAGTAACGATGAAGCACTACTGCTCACACAGAAGTCACTTTCAAACCAGGCAACTTTGCATTGCTTAATGTGGCAAATCCCCTGACCAACTTGAACATGTTGCAAAATCTGCGGGGAAATCTTTCGCCATGTGCAAAATTTAAGATTGCTTAGATTCTGATTGAAAAGTCTGGATTTTGTGCGCAAAAATTCACTGAACAATGGTAATTGTGACCACACTTTTAACTAAATATTTATTTTACTACACAAAAAAGTAAAATGATACACAATGGCTTTTGAACACTATTGAGTGATGATTTGTGAATATATTTGAATTGGTTCACTTATGACTTTATGCGTGAATTCTTTCAGACTACACCATGAATATGGGCAAGTGGAAATTATGTGATAATGCAATAATGATTCACAATATTCCAATTAAATGATTTGCCAAAATGATTCTGAATTTCCAAAGTATCTTGACAAAAAGAAACCTAACATGTTTTATTCTTACACCAGCTAAATAGTGCACAGCACAATGCTACAAAGCAATGTAACAATCTGTCAAGCTATGATGCTATTTATAACAAAAGCTAGCATGCTAATGATAAAACAACTATTTTGGAAACAGACAGTTATGCTAGTGAAAATGCTAAATTGGTAGCATTGTTACTTTTGGCTAGCTTCTGCACAACACTGTAGTTAATTAAGAAACATTCCTTCATTAACAAAAGATAAACTTTTAATTAAAGGCAGAAAAGGTATTTGAAACATTTAGCAGCCAGCCAAGCCTCAACTTCAGACAAGCCTGCCAAGTGAGCGTCTTTTAAGCCTGTCTTTTCACACTAATTAGCTCAGTAAATCTAACTTACATTGGCCCTGTATCTATTAAAAAGCTGTGCAAATAGACAGTAAACCCAGCGCTAGTCATAGCACAAGGAACTGCTCTACAAACACAACCATACTGAGCCAAAGAGGTGAATGTCACACTGCCCCTGTTGCTGTCAGGCAGTAATTCACTGACTAGTCTGCTTTTGACCTGTAAGTCAACTGAATTTCAGTCAAATCGACTCTAAAAGGCTGAGTAATGTTTGCTGATACTCTATTACAAGTCGTACTGGATATTTATCCCTGCTGTGCCATATCAAATGACAGAATTTCATTTTATGAATGCACTGGGCTACTGAACGGACTCCAGCATGAGCTAGACCAATGCTGTAAAATGTATTTTCATGGTCTTGCCATGTTTTTGGACATACAAATAGTGTCCAATACCTTAAGGCAGTGGTTCTCAAACCTGTCCTTGAGTACCCCCAGCCCTGCACATTTTGTATGTCTCCCTCATCTATCACACCTGATACAACTCATCAGCTCATTAGTGGAGAATGCAAGACCTGAAGTGGGTGTGTCAGATATAGGGAGACATACAAAATATGCAGTGCTGGGGGTACTTCATGGAAAGGTTTGAAAACCACTGCCTTAAGGAACCATGTAAATACCATGGCCATAAGTTACATCAAAATTACCAAGGTATTAGCAACAGATCCCATCACTGTACAATTTTGCTAATGAATAGGGATGTAACGATTCACTCCGAGCCGGTGGAAAATCGGTACAAATGCGTGATGATTCAAGTTGGTTGAGATGTTAAACGAATCGCAATTCAGCTGGGAGAGAGGGTTTATGTGATTGTATCTCTGATGGGAACTGACTGTCTTTAGAAAAGTTTAGATTATATTTTCTTTTCATCTCGCCTCAGTATAACGCATATGAAAGTATGCAGTCCATCTGCTGTTTTTGTTTCGTTCAGATGTTTTATGTAGTATAATCTTTAAATCTTACAAAGCTAAAGACAGACCATTCTGTTCTAGCTTCACATTTCGAAATTTTACAATCTAATTTAAATAAAAAACTGCTCATGCTGCATGTATGCAGCATCTTAATTTTGATTGTGATTAAAATGTAGTGGTTGCCTCTAAATTTAATGGAAAGAGCACAAGCAAAGCCTTAGTTTGTTTATATGAAGCAATTTCTTTTATTTGTATTATTATTTGATTTGGGATTTGTTTTAAAATTTCAATTTAGTGTTGTTATTTGGCATATTTCAATTTCACAAAGAAATGTGCAGCATTTTGCTTGAGAAATAATAAAAGGACACCTTTTGATTTATAATTTGTCTTAAATATCATTTTGTTAAAAATTGTGAGCAAATCGTATCGTGAAATCAGTATTGTGAATCGTATTGCATCGCAAGTTGAGTGAATCGTTACATCCCTACTAATGAAAGTAATTATATAGAAATCTAGCAGAAATACTTAGGTAACAACCACACATTTTCAACATTTTCAAATTTTATACTGGGATTACTCACCATCTCTTCTGTTGAGCTTGGCAAAATATGGCGACTGACTGTCAGAGGAAGATGAGGAGCCCTGGAATGATGAGGGAGGAAGAGCAGAAACCAGTGGCCCATTGCAGTGATCTAGAACAGCAGGAAAAACAGATTAGCCAATCAGATTTGACATTCAAGGTTTGTGAATGACTCCATTCTGGTTTAGAACACCCACTATTCATAAACCAATCAGCTCCCATTGAATGACGGATCAAGTCCTCTCCCTTGTACTTTTCCCATTTTCCCCTTTACCCCTACAGACATAAAACGGCTTGTGAATGTTGCAAAGTAAGTGATTGTGATTGTTAACACCCTCAACCTTGGCTGAAGATACCAGTTTATGGACCAAAAGAAACCAGTCTGTGGTACTCACAGGGTAAACGTCATTAATCCAGCAAAAAAAAAAAAAAGAGACTTTCGGCATCTACTCCTCAAGTTAACGTGCTGAGCAAGATAATGACGAGAAAGAATGAGCAGAAAGGAGAGAGAGACATCTGACAACAGCTCTCATTTCATCATTTCAATGTTTGAGAAAGTCGCACCGATTTCTCATCTAATTAACCTTTCATACACTTTCTGAATGAGCCTGACATCAAATAGCTTCACTCACATAATTGCAAATGTATTCCAGGCTAGGCAAAAGGTGCGACAGGGGGATGAGAGGGAGAAAAGGAGCGATAAAGAGATGGGTAAGGTCATAGGAAGGATAGAGACCGGTAGCCACATCTCCTCTCTTACAACGGCTTTGAGACTTCGGAGATACCTGAGCCAAAATGAAATGTCCTCTGCTGGTTCAATGGTATATTTACTTTGGGAAAAATCCCTAATAAACAGGCAACCTCCGAAGCAGTTTTCCTCCAGATGAAGCCATTTAAAAACCCGCTCCATGATGCATTTTTCAACAGGGAGTCTCTCTCGCTCTCCTCTGCAAGCGTGTAAAGTGGGCAAATTAAGCAAGTGATGTTTCTCAAACTCATAAATATGAATGAAGGGAATGACTGACACGGGCTTCCGCTTCTACTTGCGGTGACAGTCGTAAGGAGGAGATTGGCAGCATTGCGTCCACCAGTGGAAAGAGACCCGATTACATTTTTCCTTGAGCAGAATGGATGTGAAAATGACCTAGTGGCTGCAAAGCACCTGGTGCTCTGATGGTACAAGAGATGGGAATCGATACAGCACGACCATAAACCAGCAGCTTCATTTCTTGAGGGCACTCTGATGGAGCGTTTGATGGACAGGAATGTGTACAACTCTTTTGAGGGTGTGGAAAGAACCATGTCCATTTGAAATCACACAGGATTTCTGAATACACTACAGGATCCTACTCTGGTCAATGCTGCAGTAAACTTTGAAATGCTCTTAACTTTCCGTCGGATGCCAGATTGTCATTTTCAAAAAGTTTTTCCTTCTACAACCCTGTGATATGCCATCCCCTTTGAAACAACCGATTAATTACTTTTATGAAACTACAAATTTGTTTGTTAAAGGGATAGCCTAGTTCACCCAAAAATTTAAATTCGAGCCATCCTAGGTGTACTGTATATGACTTTCTTCTTTCAGACGAATACAATCGGAGTTATATTAAAAAATGTCCTGGCTCTTCCAAGCTTTATAACTATCTCTTTGATCTCGTCTATTGCAGCAACTTTTGGTTGCATGACAGAATACTACTGTGGCGAGGGGGGCGTGGTTTAGCGGAGTTGGCAGCGGGAGAGAGCGGTCGGAGACGAGCGGTGAGTAAGTAGGTCAAGTGCAAAATGACATTCACCTGCTTCTCATTTCAGTGATTGGCCTGGAGAGACCGTAACAGACCGTGGGGGAAAAAGAGAGAGAGAAAGAGACGGACTGAGGACTCGTGGGTGGAAGACTGTTGCCTGAGGGCTAGAGAATTCGCCGAAGTGCTGTATAGTTCTGTTTATTTGAAGCACCAGAGCGCCTGTCTGTTTTGTTTTTGGGACAATTGAATAAATTATCACGAGCCTCAGTCACGCCGACTCCGACTTCTTCCTTCCCTTGAACTCTGTTACACTGGTGCCGAAACCCAGGAAGGGAGAAGCCCGGCCGCTGCCATTATGCAGTCACAGCCAAGTTCGCCGTTTGAGGAAGTGATCCAATCGCTCGCGGGCCTCCACCAAGAGCAGCATCAGGCATTGCTGGAAATGCGAGAGGACCAGGAACGTCGGTTCCGCGCTCTGGTGCAGGCGCAACAGCAGGACCGTGAGCTGTTCCGGAACTGGATGGACCAGGAGGGTCGGGCAGGAGGGCCGTCATCGAGGACCACCGTCGGCCCCTCGCATCTGCCCCTGAATAAAATGGGACCACAGGACGATCCAGAGGCTTTCATTGATCTATTCGAGAAATCGGCCGAGGCATGTGGATGGCCACGAGAGCACTGACCAGTGCGTCTCATACCACTGCTTTCAGGGGAGGCGCAGGTGGCGGCCCAACAACTGCCCATTCAAAACCTCTTGGTCTTTACCGATCTGAAGCGAGCCATCCTGCAGTGGGTCGGCCGGAGCCCCGACATCGCCAGCGATTTCGGTCGCTGGATCTGGGGGAAAGTGGCGGGCCCTTCGTGTTGGCTCAACAGCTCCGGATCAACTGCCGCAAATGGCTGCTGGCTGAGGGAAGCGACGTCGAGCAGATCCTCGACCGTGTGGTGTTGGAGCAGTTTATCGGCCTTCTCTCGAGAAGGATGGCGGAGTGGGTCCAGTGCCACCGCCCGACGTCGCTAGACCTGGCCATCCAGTTGGCGGAAGACCAGATGGTGGCATGCCCAGGAGTCGGCGAATCCTTGCCAGCTGTCTCTCTCTCTCTTCCCCTAATATTTCTTCTTCCCCTCGTCCTGTTCCCTTTCCTAGGTCCCGTACGGGAATCACGCCTCGAGTCCCTCCCCGGGGAAGAGGCGGGCCGCCTCCGGAATCTGCCGCTGTCCCGAGAGCGCCACCCAGGGGGGCGGGGCTAGCCAGTACGGGATCCGCAGCGGTTCCTTGTTTCCCGCTCTTGCCACGTCAGTCCCTTGACCCACGTCCTGCCACTAGGGCGGCGGGAAAGTCTGGGCCGGCCTGTTGGCATTGCGGGGACCCAGGACATTTCATTGACCGGTGCCCGGTGATGGAGGTCGGGGCGCTGATCCGGGTCCCGGATGACCCACAGGCTGCCCCCGATCAAGCTGGCCTGTACCAAATACCTGTGAGTATTAAGGGGGGTACCTATCTCGCTTTGGTGGATTCAGGTAGTAATCAAACCTCGATCCATCAAAGCCTGATTCAGCTTGAGGCATTGGATAGAAGCCGCACGGTTCCGGTTCGGTGTGTGCACGGTGATGTGGTGAAGTATGTCCGTGCTGATTCAATTTCGGGGTCAAAAGCATAGTGTGGAGGTTGCAATTAATCCGCACCTCCAGCATCCGCTAGTTTTGGGGACGAATTGGCCAGCATTTAGTCAATTACTGGGTTGTTTGTGTGCAGATGTATCTTGTGGAGAGAGAAAGCTGGGAAACGGAGCGGACGCGCACGTGGGAGAAGCTGAACCGGGACCGCGGGATACTGAGCCAGGGGAACGGAGCACGAATGAGAGGCTAATCCTCTCTGAACATGATGATTTCACCCTGGAACAGTTCCAGGATGAGTCCCTAAAACGGGCATTTGAACAGGTTCAGACCATCGACAGTCAGCGTCTCCATCCCGTCCATCCGCTCTCATATCCCTATTTTGCTATTTTAAAGGAGCGGTTGTACCGAGTGACACAAGACACTCAGACAAAGCAGGATACAACCCAATTATTGGTACCTAAAAGCCATCGGGAAATGCTTTTCCAGGCGGCTCATTGTAATCCAATGGCAGGACATTTAGGACAGGCAGCGACACTAAATCGTCTCATGACCCGATTCTTTTGGCCGGGCATTCATGAGAATGTGCGCAGGCGGTGCGCGGCTTGTCGTGAATGTCAGCTGGTAAACCCACCGGCCTTCCCAAAAGCGCCTTTGCGCCCTATTCCTCTAATGCAGGCCCCCTTCGAAAGAATTGGTATGGACCTCATCGGGCCATTAGAATGATCGGCACGTGGGCATCGCTTTGCATTAGTCCTAGTGGATTATGCAACACGATACCCTGAAGCAGTAGCAGTTTCTCCCGGTTAATCTCCCGAGTGGGAATCCCGAAAGAGATCCTCACTGATCAAGGCACGGCGTTCATGTCACGTACGTTACACGAACTGTACGAATTATTGGGCATTAAGTCGATTCGCACCAGTGTCTACCATGCACAAACAGACGGGCTGGTGGAACGATTTAATCGCACGTTAAAAACCATGATTCGGAAGTTCGTTCACGAAGACGCCAAAAATTGGGACAGGTGGCTGGAATCCCTCTTGTTCGCTGTGCGGGAGGTCCCCCAAGCCTTCACGGGGTTTTCCCCCTTTGAACATCTCTATGGGTGTCAGCCCATGCTGGACGTCCTGAGAGAAACTTGGGAGGACGGACCTTCAGAAAGCCGATCGCCCCTACCTGGTCGAACGGACCTCATACAGCACCACATAGAAACCGAGCCAGGTGTGGTGGTTCGCAGCCGGCCATATCATTTACCTGAGCACAAAAAAAAGGGGGTTCAGGCGGAATTAGAAGCGATGCTGCTATGGGTGTCAGCCCATGCTGGACGTCCTGAGAGAAACTTGGGAGGACGGGCCTTCAGAAAGCCGAAATGAAATTCAATACGTGCTGGACCTGAGAACAAAACTCCACACCTTGGGGCGGCTGTCGATGGAGAATTTGTTACAGGCCCAGTCGGCTGTACAACAGGTGATCCAGGCTACGTAAATTTGCACCAGGAGAAAAAGTGCTTGTATTGCTTCCTACGTCTAGCTCTAAATTACTCGCCAAGTGGCAAGGACCCTTTGAGGTCACACGGCGAATTGGGGATCTTAATTATGAGGTCATCCGTACAGATAGGAGCGGGGCACATCGGTTTAGCGTAGTCGGCAGCGGGAGAGAGCGGTCGGAGACGAGCGGTGAGTAAGTAGGTCAAGTGCAAAATGACATTCACCTGCTTCTCATTTCAGTGATTGACCTGGAGAGACAGTAAAAGGCCGCAGGGGAAACAGAGAGAGAGAAAGAGCGGCAGTGAGTGGGCAGGAGGATCTCGGGCCAGAAGTAAATACTAAACTGCAATCTATAGCTCTGGCCCCTGGTGGAGACCACCTCTCGCCCTCGCAGATCGCTGATGTAGCCAAGCTACAGGGAACGTTTGCAGATGTGTTCTCGCCCCTACCTGGTCGAACGGACCTCATACAGCACCACATAGAAACCGAGCCGGGTGTGGTGGTATGTGGCGAGGGGGGTGTGGTTTAGCGGAGTCGGCAGCGGGAGAGAGCGGTCGGAGACGAGCGGTGAGTAAGTAGGTCAAGTGCAAAATGACATTCACCTGCTTCTCATTTCAGTGATTGACCTGGAGAGACAGTAAAAGGCCGCAGGGGAAACAGAGAGAGAGAAAGAGACGGACTGAGGACTCGTGGGTGGAAGACTGTTGCCTGTGGGCTAGAGAATTCACCGAAGTGCTGTATAGTTCTGTTTATTTGAAGCGCCAGAGCGCCTGCCTGTTTTGTTTTTGGGACAATTGAATAAATTACCACAAGCCTCAGTCACGACGACTCCGACTTCTTCCTTCCTTCCCTTGAACTCTGTTACAACTACTTTCGCTGACTCTTGCTTTGTCTACATCTTTGCAAGGCACAATGCAATTTGAAGCCAATCGATCCACAGTCTTCCTTATGTAAAAAGCAGAAGTGCACTAACTCTGTGGGTATCCACAAATGCTATTCTGCAACTGGAATATTTTTTTTTGTTATTCTGCAACTGGAATACTTTATTTGGCTGAAGAGGTCGAGGTTAAAAACCACTGCAGTTGCTCAATGAAATTTATGGATACCTGGAGAGGTTTTCAGAGAACGATGTGGATCCATTAGTTCCAAAGCGCATTGTGCATCGCAGAGACGTAGGAGGAGGAAGGGTCTATCAAAGTGATGCTACATCAGGCAACAAAAGTTGCTGCAACACTCAGCATTGAGTGTCCTTTACCTATCTTGGGTTGGAAATGCAGAATTTTCTACAATATATCCATGACTACATAAGACACTACATGGGAAAGACAGGAACCAACATCTCTCATATGAACACCATTCAATGTTTTGAGCATGCATGCTAACCACTAGGCCATGGCCGCAAGTTCTTACAGAATACCCTTAAAGTCCAAATAATGAGTAATTTCATATCACCTACTTT